TAATTTAAGTATTCGAAATAAAAGTGATTAATTACTCGAAATAAGTGATAAATTGGCGTTACTAGTAATAAATTCTATAAGGGTTGAAATAAAGTATAAGAGATAAATAGGCTATATGTGAGCCGTATGCGAAATGTGAGATGTAACGCATATTGAAATTTAATTTTTCGATATAACTTTCAAAAATGTACACGAGGTACAAAAAATTAGCTTGGACATTTGTAAGACTTAAAATTGGGATTAATTCTCAATTCTATTAATTAAATTTCGATATAACACACCTTACATCCGCGCACGGCTCACATATAGCCCATTTATTAGTGCAATTTTTAAGTTCCTTATTTTCAAAGTTCACCTTTTTACGTTATCAAATATTTTTGGTACGTTTTCAAGAATTTTATATTTTACTTACCGCAGTTTCTTATCCAAATGTAAAATCTTTTATCGCAGTCTATAAAAAATTGAAACAATTTAATTTTATGATATAATATTATTATTATTACAATTTCTATATATATGCACATCTGTCAAATATCGTGATTTATTTCACATTATTATTATCTATTTTAATAAAAAAAAAAAACAAAAAACACTTGCAACAATCAAAAATAAACCGCCTGCCGCGAACGGAAAATGCCAAGAAAGCACGCAATTTCCGCGAATCTCGTAATTTTTTTGAAAAATCAACAATTTCAACGAAATTGTAAATTCTTCAAATCACTGCACAAGTATAATTCACAATAATAATTTTTAGTAACTACGATAAAAAATCGTATACTGAAAACCGCAAACGAAAGTGCAATGGGAGTAAGAGTAAAGTCTGTGATAAAATTAATTGGCAATAGAAAATTAATAATTTTCAAATAGAAAAATTTTGAAATTACCGAGGATTTACAAATAATAAAGTAAAAATATTAAATAATTTATGTTTTCGAATTTGCTCGCGGAGAGGATCTTTAAAACAAGATTTTTAGAAGAGAGGACCTTTAAAAATAAACAGGCAAAAACGTTGGAAAAATTAAAGCGCGCGTTTAAACAGATAAACGCAATGAAATAAATACGCAATTGTTTTTACTTATCGCTGTAAGCTCACAAGCTTCTGACGTGCTATACACTTTTATATAATATATACAAGGTGTCCGGTAACTAACGGACCAATGATTAAGGGCGGATTCTCTGGCCAATTTGGAGACGATTTTTCCTTAGCAAAAATGTTGAGAAGTCAATAATTTTCGAGTTATAAGCGATTGAAAAAAATAGGTTTTTTGAAAACTAAACGTTTTGGAGTTAAAAGTCTAACATAATTACATTCTTCAGTTAATTTCAGGTAGAGAGTTTACTATAATAAAATTTAATTTAAGGCTTAGTTATAAAGATACATAATGACAAAGATTGGAAAGTTGTAAAAAATGATGACCTTTTTCGACATTTTCGCTGAGGAAAAATCGTTCCCAAATTGACCAAAGAATCCATTTGTAATCATTGGTCTGTTAGTTACCGGACACCCTGTATATTGGACACGAGTTTCGTTTGTTTCAGATTCTCGAGAGTTGAAGTAGGAACATACGAGTATCATATATCGTTTGTGACTTGCCGAATGAAAGCAAGACAGAGAGCGAACGAGATGATGAGCTTAATAGCTCATAATGTTATAAATAAATAAATAAAAAATTATAACCTGACCTACTAGTTATTGAATCTTTTTTTAATAAAATGTTTCATTATTATTATCATCTAAGTCTAAGTCGTTTAATTACTTTTTAGTTTTTAATAATTAATTTAATTTATTCTAGTCATTTTTATATGAGAAAAATAATATCACGTATACGTTTTATAATGAATTAATATATTTCGGGAACCGAATTATATATTCTTAATAATATAAAAGTGTTCAAAATTATATTTGACTTTTAATTTTAATTATTTTATAGCAAAGAGTTCCGAAATCTCTTACACACATAATGGGGATTTTTTTCATCCATATAATTCGCAATTAAGTATATATGTTAATTATTAATTTTAATAAAATAAAAATTAAAATTAAAGGTCAAATATAATTTTAAACACAAATATATTAAATTAATTATAAAACGTATACCCATGATAGTATTTTTCTCGTACAAAAATAATTAGAGTAAATTAAATTAATCATAAAAGATTAAAAATTAATTAAAGAATTTAAACTTATATTTTATATAATAATAATAAAACATTTTATTACGTCAAAACGTCGTGTGAAATAATTAAATAAAATTTGCTAGTTACGTCAAAGTCAAGTTTTCTAAGCTTATAAAACATTTTATTAAAAAACAGATTCAATAAATATAAGTACATGTTATATATATACTTATATTTATTGAATCTTTTTTTTTATAAAATGTTTTATTATTATATATAATATAAATTATTTAATTATTTTTTATTTTTTATGAGTAATTTAATTGTTCTAGTTATTTTTGTACGAGAAAAATACTATCACGGGTATACGTTTTATAACGAATTAAATATATTTATGTTCAAAAATTATATTTGACCTTTAATTTTAATTTTGTATTTTATTAAAATTAATAATTAACATATATACTTAATTGCGAATTATATGGATGAACAAAATCCCTATTATGTGTGTAAGAGATTTCGGAACTCTTTGCTAAAATAATTAAAATTAAAAGTCAAATATAATTTTTGAACACTTTTATATTATTAAAAATATATAATTCGACTCTCGAAATATATTAATTCATTATAAAACGTATACGTATTAGTATTTTTCACATATTAAAATGATTAGAATAAATTAAATTAATTATTAAAAAACTAAAAATTAATTAAACGACTTAGACTTAGATGATAATAATAATGAAACATTTATTAAAAAATAATTATAATAGGTCAGGTTAATATTTTATTATTTATTATTATTTATTTATAACATCATAAAATTCTGTCCTTTCCGAAATACGCGAACGCTACGAAAAGATAAATCTCGTACATGCCGCCGGACGAGTTCATGAGCATGAGACGCTATCTTGGGAACGTATTAATAGTTACTGCATTGACCACTACTACGATATGGCGCTGAAATCAGTGAGAAATGCTGGTCTCTCCTTCATCCAGACCTTTGGCGATCTGTCTATTAATCTGTGGACATGGAGCACATTTTGAGCGAAAAGCGGTACGGGGAATTATTAAAATATTAATATTTAACTATATTTATGATTTAAAATGCTGGTATTCAAATAGATAAGTAAAGAGAACATTATTATAAAAGGAATAACAATGAATAAGTAAATATAAATTAAAAAATTAATACAATGTTATTGTCACATACCGTTCCGCTTTTCCGCTCAAAATTGCTCATGTAATTATAAGGCAATCAAAAACAGACGGAACGAACGCGCGAAATGCGGGACTCTAGTAAAAGTTTGTTACTTTCTCTTCCGCGTTCGCGTTCGCGTTTCCGGCGTCCATGTAATCGCACCCTAAGCCTTAGTGAAAAAAACTGTAGTTGAACAGCTGTTGTGGGTGGATGGCGGCGCCATTGTGAATTCCAATGCTGAAACAATGAATGCGACGACCTTATTTCTTTTCGTCATTTATCTACGGACCTTGTGTCTTGAGATCTCGTTCAATCAATCAAAGAGTGCTATGCGGCCATTTGATTAATTGAACGAGTCTTAAGACGATCTTAAATATAAGGGCTATTCTACAATAGTTGCAAATATTCTTGTTGCTATGATAGTTGCGGATTAACAATAGCTGACAAGTCGCTTTGCTCTGATTGGTCAATTGACAATTGTTAATTAGCAACGAGGATATTTGCAATCTATTGTAGAATGGCCCTAAGAACCAACTGTGAATACAGGTCTATAATTTTATTTATTTCATTTATTTCATTTATTCATTTATTTCATTATGTCATTTATTTCATTTATTTCATTTTATTTCTTTATTTCGTTTATTTCGTTATTTCGTTTATTTCGTTTATTGTTATTCTTATTTCGTTTATTTCGTTATTTTCGTTTATTTCGTTTATTTCGTTTATTTCGTTTATTTCGTTATTTCGTTTATTCGTTATTTCGTTTATTTCGTTTATTTCGTTTATTTCGTTTATTCGTTTATTTCGTTTTTTCGTTTATTTCGTTTATTTCATTTATTTCATTTATTCATTTATTTCATTATGTCATTAATTTATTTTTTATTTTTTATTTTTTATTTTTTATTTTTTATTTTTTATTTTTTAATACAACAATTAAAACAATACAATATAAGACCAACTTACAAGCAAACAAATAGGTGTGATAAAATGAATTCAAATTTATTAGTAAATCTTGAACTTAAATTCTTACATAAATTAAAATTTAAACTTAATTTGAACTTTTGATATACCAATTTAATTAATTTAGTTTATGTGAAGATAGATTGATTATTGTACTGAAGAAGACTAGATAAATCGAAACGTTTACTTTAAGAATGTAAAGAATTTTAGTTCAAATTTTAATTTATGTAAGAAGTTAAGTTTAAGATTACTAATAAATTTGAATTTATTTTATTACACCTATTTATTTGCTCGTAAATTGGTCTTATATTGTATTGTTTTAATTGTTGTATTGTATATAACAAGCCTTTTTGCTTTTAATTTTATTTTTTTATTTATTTTATTTTGATTTATTTCTTTATTTATTTTTTATTTATTATTATTTATTTATTTATTTATTATTTATTATATATTTTATTTTTTATATTTTGTTTATGCAATTTTTTATTCAAATATAGTCCCTTGCACGATGCCAGCCAACAAGCAATAGGAATAAGAAATAGAAAATATCCACCAATAAGAGCAGAAATAATATCTATCTCCTTTTCCGATTGGAATTTCTAGGGACTTGCGACTCTGACAATAATTTCTAGGATTTTAGGGACTCTAAATAATCCGAGGCGCCACAAGTTCACTGAAGTGAAACTAACATTCGCACTAGGTATTATTTGGTATTCAAGACACAAGACCTTCTCATTTTCTCGTTTGCTGCGGAAAGTTTAAAAATAGTTAAATATATTCGCTGATGAACGCTGTGATATAAATTGCCTCGGCTTTCGGTTCTCCGATCGAACGAGCCTCATCTCGTATTGGAAAAGATTCCCGCACAAACTCCGATTATGGCTTCGAAAATGACGCTTTCCCAAGCATTAGGAACAGATGGAAGCGATTATAATCATAGGCAAAAGATTGCAACACACTATCAAGTTAGGTGAGAAAATCTTTAAAAAATAAATATATAATTTTTGAATTTTTGAATTTACGAATCAATTGAATGATTCGATAATTTTTTCTATAATTACATTTTAACAAGCTAGCACTGAAATATTTAGAGTACAATCTGTTACTGTATATTAATTAAATACTTTAACTTTAGAAGTAGATTTATATTGATTCATTAATTATTTTAATCTATAAAAAAAGCTTATGTATAGTATATAAATATACATATAAAAATTCCTGCATTTTTATCTCTGGTTAAAATATTTTTACTTTCAGTGCAACAAATAAATCAAGACTGAAGTATTGTATATTTTTTCACTACTTGTTATTTTTTGTCATGCGTGCTAAACTTTCTGCAGATATATTAGATTACCTAGACATATTTATCTTAGAGGTAGAAGAGCTACAAATACCACAGGTATAATAAATATATATCTTGTAAATTTGTAGAATTTAGACCAATCATGCTTTATATTTTATTGGATATTTAAGTAAATCTAAGAAAATTATTAAGTATCAGATATCTTTGATTGATAAATTTTACATATATTGAAAAAAATGTGATAAATCTACATATTTTCTCTTCACTCATCATAATGTAAATCTTCTTGTCAGCTAATTAATTTATTTTTCTATTTAGCCATTATGGTGGGAATATATATGGTGCACTAGTTTGTTATTATCTTTCTCGCTCTCTCAGCGATTTAAAAGAAAATAAAATTAAAAACTGCAGAGATATATGATAGGAATCGTTTTACTAGGTTATGGTTCACTGATATATGCTATTGTATATTATTTTAAGGATGTCTGGGCATACTTAACTGTGGGTGAATCTGCTGATATTTTTTGTGGAAGGTATTATTTTTATTTTATATATTTGGAGTTGTCAACTTTAGTCAGGGTGAGTAATAACTAGTTAATTAGTTAAAAGTTGAAAAAAAAGTTAAAAAATTAACTAACTTAACTAGTTGACTAAATGTTTTATTAAATGAAATGTCAAATTTAATTTTATTTAATTTGATATTTGCAAGACTATTTATTCAATATAGGTATTAAAAAAGGCTAATAAGAATCAAATGTTGGAGGCATTAGTAAAAAACTCCTAAATAATTTAATTAAGAACACTGTTTATTAGTTTAAAAATTAAATGTTTGTTTCACTTTGTACTATCTTAAAGTAACAGTATATAACAAAAAGGGAAATAACATACTGTACGGCTCAATATTGAATAATAACTTGAAATAAGATTGGCTGTAAAAGCCCAACACGGAGTTTGTGCGTGAAGACTGTGAAATAAGACTTAAATTGGAAAGAATCTCATATTTTGTGAGATATTACTGTCCTAGTTCCCTTAAGGCTGATTTTTCCAACTTCTCGGTAAGTTTTACCTGACAGATTGCATATTTTCATTTCTCTTCAGATAAGTTCTAAAAAAAGAGACAAAGATATGCTACTTGTTGGATAAAACTTACCAAGAGTTGGAACAACCGGCCCTGGAAAAAAAAAGAAACATAATATTTGTTCATTAAGAAAAATAGTTTTGGTTTAGATTTTCAGCAAAAACAAACTTTGTACTAATGTTATATAATTTATTTTTCAGGATCTACCATATGGCGTACTTTGGTATGCATTTATTCTTTTAGCATCACAAGTTCATTTTTTCTCCTTATTCTTTTCTTGGAATCTACTGGTTGCCTGGAAAACACGAAGTGCCAAAAAAATGGAGTGAACCCAAATAAACGACTACAAACACTGTCAAGTTGATAAGTTTGCATAAGATATGCAACATATTACAGATATTTCAGAATGTAAACGTTCATATTTATATTTACGTTGAAAAAACAAAGATATATAATATTGTTATGCAAAATAGTATCTAAAATGTGTGAAAAATGTATGAGAAATGTAACTAAATGAGAGAATATCAATATGTATTTTGTATATATACAAAAATATATACAAAAAATTAGATTATATTTTTTTAATGAGATTTATGAGTTTTTATTGTAAAAAATATCACATGTGAATAGTAATAATCATTGATTGATAATTATATATTAATTTGTTACACTTTACATTTAAACAAAATTTTATCGGTACTTGTTAATGCAAAATAGAAAATAATATCTATCACTATCTACTAATGTATGTAACTGCTTTTATTGGAACATTTTTTATTTCCTGTTCCTATGGCTTATACTTTTGTATTGTACAATAGATCTATAGTTCTATGCTAATTAAGAGAAAATATTAAATATTAGGAATAGGAATTATTTTAAATCATAAAATAATTATTAAATAATGAAATATTATTTACTAAAATATTCAGTGTTAAATAAATTAAAAATTCTAATATACAAAATACAAATTCAGGTATAAAAGGTTTTTATACTCTTAATTAAAAGTTTTTATATCCAAATTTGTATTTGTGTAGATCAGAGTTATCGATTTTATTATAAATTCCTATTCCTAATATTTCTCTATTATGCATATCTTTATTCCTTATCCAGTGTTGTGCTTAGCTGATTTAAAAATTAGCTAGATAAAGATGAAATAAAAATATGTAAATTTATCTTTGATAAGATGAAGAGACTTCGTTTTAATAAATTAATATATCTAGATAAAATTATAAAGCGATTTCATCGAGATAACGTTCAGAGATAATATTATTTTTAAGGTTGTTTATGTAAAAATAAATTGTTATAAAAAAATGTAAATTCTAAACAGTGTTGTGTGTAGATGATCTTAAAATTAGCTAGATAAAGATGAGATCAAAAATAAGTAAATTATTTATTTTAGATAAGATGATGATTTTGTTTTAAATATATCTGGATAAAAAAATAACATATGGCAATTCATTTAGATAATTTTCAAATATTATTTTAAGATTGCTTATGTAAACATAATTATAAAAAAAAATATAAATTATAAAAGAGATATAAAAATATCCATATATGTATATGTCGATCTAAGGGCGGATTCACATCTTTGTAGAAAACAGAAAAGCAAAAGCCAATCAGGGAGTCGATTGTATAACTTTTTCTAAAGTAAAAATGTGAAAAGTGAAAATTTTCTTCCAATCACACATCGATTTCATTTTAAAAATCAATGCGTGATGGTGGAAATTTTTCACTTTCGAAAAAGTTACACAATCGACCCCCAGGGTATCGATTCTGTAACTTTTTCTAAAGTGAAAATGTGAAAAGTAAAAAATTCCGCCAATCACGCATTGATTTTAAAATGAAATCGATGGGCAATTAGCGAAAACTTTTTACTTTTCACGTTTTCACTTTAGAAAAAGTTACAGAATCGATACCCTGAACTCGCGTTGGCAGTAAGTTTACTACCGAGTTTACTAAAGACCTATGAGATGCGCCAACTCCGAACCGTTTTTGATTGGCTCTTGAAGTCACGTGGTTTTTCCGCTATCTTCAGGGTACTTATTACAGTTTTTTGGATGAGTTTGCTACGAGGTAAAAAATCACAAAAGTGAGAGATTCACTAGGTTGTCTACGCTTCTATTGGTTAAAATCTAGTGAATCTTTCATTTTGTGATTTTTTATCTCGTGAGCAAAACTCACCCAAAAACCGTAATAGGTACCCTGAACGTCGATTGTGTAACTTTTCTAAAGTGAAAATGTGAAAAGTGAGAAATTTCTTCCAATCACATCATTTTTTTTTTTAAATCAATGCGTGATTGGCGCGAAAATTTTCATTTTCACGTTTCTACTTTAGAAAAAATTACACAATTGACTCCTGGGTATCTATTACGGTTATTTGGGTGAGTTTGCTCACGAGATGAAAATCAAAAATGAGAGATTCACTAGATTTTGACCAATAGAAGCGTAGACAACCTAGTGAATCTCTCACTTTTGTGATTTTCACCTCGTGAGCAAACTCACCCAAAGAACCGTAATAAGTACCCTGATCATTGCAAGCGCGCGTTGACACAAATCTACTTGGTACAAAGCACTATCATGGTGCAAGATGCAGATTATTGTAAAAAGATAAGTTTCCATGAGGAAATTAATTTTCGAGCACAATATTGATATTTTAGTGATAGTTGATAAACAGAAAAAAATATGCTTCATTCTCCATTGCTCCACTGCTCTGCTTCTGCAGCTTCGAATGCTCCGTGCTCGCTTATTAATTTGTCTTCTGCTTTAAGCGGGGAGCACACACTCTTGCATAAGCGCAGAAGCATATGCATAAGAAATTCGATTAGTTGAAATTCTTTTCTCTACGTTTATAGACCAATCAAGATTATTATGCTTACGCTTATGCGTTTATGCAAAAGTGTATGCTCTCCGCTTAAGGTCGACAGGCAACATGGTGAAGACGCCTATCGGGCCGGCCAAGAATTACGGATTCGTTCATCCTATATATTAGCCAAAATACTAAGACGTCAGTTTACTACTTGGGATATAATATATAATTGTTTAGTTCTGTGAAGTTAGTCGCCAAAATTAGATTTGAAAGTTTCAATAATTGGAATCAATAGTTGGTCTTTTATTGATCATTGTTGGTCATATTTTAACTTTTGTTGGTTATTAGTTTGATTGTTATTAAAAAAATAAATATCAATGTAAGTTAGCCTACCTAATATATACAATTTTACTAGATTTTAATTATTATACGTCAAATCGATAGGAAATCAATTGTTGGTCCCAATTATGTCTTTTTAGAAATGATTGTTGGTCGATTATTTACTAATATAATAAAAAATTATTTTTTCAATTGCTCACATATACTGCGCATGCGCATATACTGCGCATGCTGTTTCCAATCATTAAGTTAGCTCTCTACAGTATATTATATACCGCGATCAGAGAAATGTACAATTAGATGAAACAGGTATTTTATTAAAAATCCGTTTAAATTGACATATTTATAATTAGTCTTAGTGTATTATTAGGATTTTAAGTAATTGTACTAACAATATAAATTTGTATTGAGTCTGTTTGGTTTTGCATTCACTTCAGATTGATAAGTTTCTCGAAAACTCACGGCTGTAATTTGGTTCTTTTATAGTCAACAACTTCTCTTTTAATTGAAAAACTACCAGATGATGTGGGAATTGTCTATCAGCAATACTCGCTGTT